GATAGCTCAGTGGCATAGCTTTCTGGCTATGAAGCCAGAAGTTGGAAGTTTAATTCCCCACTGTGCCTCGTTAAGAGGGGCTGGATTCAATGATCCACAAGTCTGCAATTCAAAGATGATGATGATGATGATGATGATATTATTATTGTTGTTGTTGTTGTTGTTGTTACTACTACTACTACTACTACTACTACTATTACTATTACTATTACTATTATTAAAAAACACCAGGCAACGACAAAATTATAAAAACATTGAGTGGTGATACAATTTTTAACCAAAAACCTAAATATCTGTTAAATATTGACACAGTATGTATGCTGTTCCTAATATTGCTTTTTTTAGCTCTGATTGTATGATTTGTGAAATCTGCAAATGCTTATACTGTATGAAGTTTCCTGATATTGTTCCTAAAGCCCCAAGGGCTACGGGACCACTGAAGTGTGTTTCTTCCAGAGGTGAGATGTTTCGATTTCCAGGTCTCTGTACTTTGTTAGTTATTCCAATTCTTTATTTTTAACTCTGGCATCCCCTGGAATTGCCATGTCAATGATCCAGACCTTTCTTCTATTACTACTATGTCTGGTGTGTTATATTCAAGGTGTCTATCAGTTTGGTTCTGGAAATTCCACAAGATCTTGACTTCCTCATTTTCTCAAACCTTCTCTACCAGATGTTCCCATGGGTTTTTGAAGGCTGGCATGTTATATTTTTTGCATAATGACCAGTGCACTAACTTTGCCACTCTGTCATGTATTATTATTATTATTATTATTATTATTATTATTATTATTATTATTATTATTATTATCATCATCATCATCATCATCATCATCATCATCATCATCATCGTTGACGACAATTTATAGATGGATTGTTATGCATCACTGCTCTGACTGGGCCTTTAGTACTAGTGTTTACCATCTCAAAGTGGTTTTTTTTTCCTTTTAAATATTTATATACATATCGTATTAGCTTTGTCTTTTAATTATGCAAGTTGCCTCTTTATGCCCATTGTTCTTAGCTTTAAATATTGTCTTTTAATAATTTAAACCACTGTTTTATACTCATTGCTTTCAGTTTTAAGTATTGGCTTTCAATGATGGCCTTGGGTCCTTTTTAAGGAGAAAGGTTGGGGGGGTGTATGTATGTATGTATGAATAAATAAATAAATCACATTTTTGCTAGTATGACATGAGAGCAGGAGAAGAATCCAATGTGACAGGAAACACACTTTGTGGTCTTGCATAGCTCACTCCATCTCCTACATTGATCTCGATGAATAGAACTTTATCAGCTTGGTGTGTTTATAATTTCTCTTTTGACCTTTATCCACTGTGAGCTAAAAAGAGTAAAATGGTAGACCTCTGAGGATTGTGAGCAAACTATTCTGAACTCCTTGAAGGAAATGAGCTATAAATGTTACTACTGCATTTTTTGGTAGAATAATTGATAATAAACGTTTGCTACCAGTACATGTTCAACTAGTGTTCACTCCAAACACACACCAATGGGCACGGATGATAGCCCACTAGGAGGTCAGTGAACCTCCAGTTTTTGCTTGTTTCAAAGACATAGCCCTGTTAGTCTGTTTTGGTGTAACAAATCACAGAAAAGTCTTGTGGCACCAGATTTATTATCATAAGCTTTCATAAATCTGCAAAAAAAAAATCATACTGAAAGAAATCTGAAATTCTTAAAGGTGCAGCAGTACTCTCTCCCCCACACTTTTATTTTCCCTGCCAGTGGTGACTGAATAAAAGAAATAGTGAAAGTAGCTGAGCAGCTATCAAGCCACTATACTCATCAGTAGGGGGAGGATTTCTATGACATGTCATATTTTTTTTCTGCAATGTTTGAAATAAGTGGGTTTGGACATATTTATGAGTAATCTGATGAGAAAGGCTAGATTACTCATAAACATGTTTAAACATGCTTGTGAGTTCAAGTACAGGTTGCAGAGAAAGTGTGAAATGTCATAGAAATCCTCCCCCTACTCATCAGTTAATTTCAGTTATTTGTTTTAGCCATTTGCCATATCAAATGATACAAAAAAATAGACCAAAAAATCGGATAAAGGCATGAAAAGAAAGAACTCCAGAGTGCCAAGGTGTCTGATTGGCTATGTTCAGGTTTGTGGACCACAGTTGTTCAAGCCTTCAAAAATGACTTCTTAACACTCTACCAAACCCCATCCTTTTGTAGGAAAGACATACTTTTGTTCTTCAAAAACTGCAGTTACTTTTCTATACAACTATTTTGAAATTTCTTTCTCTATGCTTTATTTCCAAAGTTTTCTATATAAACAGTGTAGTGCTGCTGTCGCACAGTGAAACTCATGGCACTAAGGACACACTCTCAGCTTAACATCTGTCTCTCAGAGTCCTTGCCAAGGACAAAACAGAAGGAGGAAAGCTGTTGTGCGGAGTGGAGAAAAGATGCAATGTAAATGCAATTAATAATAAATACATTTGAAATTCCCATATGTGAACAGGTTTTGTCTTGCCTAAATAAATATTAAAACCTAAACACACCAGAATCCCAAGAACATTTGCACAGAGAGAGAACAAAACAAATTAAGATACTTCTTATAATGCTTTTAAAAGATGGTTGGACGGGTCTGGCAGTATAAAAGCCAAATGTAAATTTGTGTGTGTGTATTTTTCTGAGAAATAATTAGGACACATGAGCCATGCTAGCAGAAAATTAGCTATGAGCAAATCTTTACAGGATTGATATCCTTATCTCTACCACTCATCCTCCTTCTTCTTTCTGGTGTTGCCTTCATTGGAATTTAGATCAAAACTCTTTTAAATGAGATGCTTGTGTCTTTTTGATTTTTTTAATGTAAAGTGCTAATTCCCTGTAAAGCACTGTATATATTATCATGCTACAGAAAGAAGAACAATAAAAATAATATAAATGCTTTCATATTCCTCCAACCTCAGTTCATGATGATTTGTATCTAACATATTAATTTGAGCACAAATCAGCAAAAAGCTCAGCATAGCCCATTCACACTTACAAAAATAAGGAGAGTTAAATTTCTAGGTTGGCTGGAATATACAACATCTCTGATGCTAGAAATCAAGGGTGACAGCTATTGAGACACGGAGCTGCCCCCACCATTTGAAGTCACTCAGCAGATACGGTAGGAGAGGAGAGAAGAGGATGCCTGCCACTCCTGGGTGAAGACAGGCGTGCTCTTTCCTTGTGGGAAATTGCTGACAGGGCACTGGGTGCCAGGTTGCTCTTGCACAGCGATATTAGAGCTCCTGCTGAGACAGGACCCCATCCTCTGTGGATCTAACCTGATAAGCCACAGGGAGAGTATTTGGGCCACTTGGAGGAAAATGCCTGCCATCTGTCCAGTTGGGTCAGCATATAATTATCTAAACAGGGGCAGTTACACAGACATTTACACCAAAGTATTCCTGTATTGAGCAGAGGGCTCAATTGCTTTATCGTTCCTTTTCACTTCTATGATTCTACTGGGATAAGCAAAGTGTGACCCTGAACCTGGGGGAAAAATGCTAGATAGCTCAATGGCTTAGGCACCTGGCTGTGGAACCAGAGGTTCTGAGTTCAATTCCCCACTGTGCCTCCTTGACAGGGGCTGGACTTGATGATCCATTGGGTCCTTCCAGCTCTGCAGTTCTAAGTCGATGATGAACTGGGAATAACTCCTCAGACTATTTTCCCTTACAACCAAACGTTGGATCTGATCACAACTTGATCTCAAATCAGCGTTTACCAGGACTTCTCCTGATTCAAGTTCCAATGAGCTAAGAAAGAAAGGATAATGAAGAGCGTGTCATGACCCTCTGCAGTGTGACTTTCTTTCACATGAGCAAATACAGCCAGTTGTCCCACAGATGGGAGCAGAAATGAGCCTCACTTGCACACAGTGGTGGGCCTACTTTTTTTCTTTTCTTTTTTTAGTTTCTGAAGCTTGAACTGTTACAAGGGGTCTTTCACACCCAGCAACGAGGTCTCAGTAACCGTTGTTCCATTGCAGATCGCAATTTTTTAAAAAAATTATGTGGACTAAAATTGCTTCTAGGCACCCTCCAGGAATTGGGGACCCTGAAGCTTAAGCTTCATTAATTTCATAGTGGAGCCACCCTTGCTTGCATATCTCAATTAAACAATGAATCAGACAACAATCCTCTCATCTCCAGTTACTATTATAACACACTTGTTAGAGATGGGAAGACATAGGACATTTCTGCTTCAGTATTTTTAGGGCACAGTAGGCTTTATTTATTTGTAAAAGTCAGTAGGGAGGTTATTAACAACATCTGATAATGCATATAATATTACAGATTGTCTCGCAAAAGTTGCTTCATTTACTGAGTAACTTTTGCAAGTCAGAGAGTAAATTCATGCTAATCAGTAAAAAACAAACAGCAGCCAACAAAATCCAGTTAAAGGCTCAATATGAAACTGTAGAAATGTAAGGAACTTGGAATCCGAGTCATTCTCTCAACTCCTTCAACAGAATAATCCACTCCTGTTTTTCCTTCCAAGTATTTTAGTAGTTCCTTCTTTAAGTTGGGAAAGGAAGCTTTTAAACTATTGTTATTGTTACATGTTTGGGAGTTAGAAGTCCTTGGCAATCTCATTGAAATCACTCTGAGCTTTTCCAGTAGACCCTTGTCTAACTTTGGCTTACGCCCTGTGTTAATCCCTCTGAATCAGCTGTTCTTTAAACAAAGGAGCAGGAATATTTGATGACTGTGCTAATTGGATCATAAATAGCTTGGCGTTTTCTCCTACAGGCACATGTGCATCCACACTCCCTTCAAGACATTGGACTGGGGGGAAAAACAAAGCACGAAAATGGTTTTCGACCCTGTCAAACTTGCTGTTGTTGTTTCGTAACCTACTTCTTAGTGATGTCATTTATCTGAAATCTTCAGTGACTAGTGTTTCCTTAAAAGAAAAAAGAGAGGGAGAATAAATGTACGACTATCGAAGTTCAGCTAACATAGCCTGGCACTGTTCCTTTTAGTTTGTTAACAGAGTCAAAGGAAAGCCAACCTACTACATGACTGAATGTGTATATTCTTCTTTGTGCTCTGAACTCTTAAATGTGAGCAAGAAATCTCAGTACAAAAGCTTGCCTCGCTATTTTTCATGATCTAGTGCTTCCGAGATAACCGTTTCATCTCTCCTGTCCTGCAGTTTTCATCCTGCTGTTGTTCCTTCTCAACTTCCAGCTGTCTCTATGCGGAGCACTGGTTTAATCTCCCTTTAACTACTATAGCTAGTAGGTGTTGATAGATTGATCCTCTGTGAATATGCCTAATCCAGCTCTACTCCTAATTATCTTCCTAGTTTTTACAACATCCCAGAGTGATAGGAATGAGCTTCCTTGCTCAGCCTTTATAGATGGACTCTTGCATGCAAGTTTGACTTTGCTTCTTTTAGCTTGGCAAAATTAAACGCCCTATGGACAAAGGGAGGTGTTCAAAGCAAAATACCAAGCCTTTCATCACTTCTCTGTCCGGTGGCGGTATTTCAGTGGTACTTTCAGTGAAACAGATATTTTGATGTGTTCATTTAATTTTGCAGTATTTTTGATACAGTCCATGACAAAAAGGAATCTGTGTGGAATTTTAAAAAACCTAAAAATTTTTTTTTAATGTTACATTTATATGCTGGCTTAACTTTAATGAGATGAGGGCAGAGTGCAAGATTCACATCCTCTCACTTTACCCTCACAAAAACACTGTGATATAACTAAGGTTGAATGTGTGTTACTGGCCTAAAGCCACCTATCAAGAGTGAAGAGTTGAATCCAGAGCTCTTAAATCCAGCATTCTAACCACTATAAGTTATGCCCCGCATAACGAGCGATTCGTTTAACAATGAATCTGCATAGCGATGTGGTTTTTTGCGATGTTTCTAATGGCCAAAAATCGCTTTGCGATGATCGGTAAGCGTTTCGCTTACTGATTTTCACATAGCGATTTTTAAACAGCTGATTGGCAGTTCCAAAATGGCCACTGGGTAAAGAAAACGGCCGCCCGCACTGTTTTTGCACCCTTTCCTCGCTTACCGGGCAGCAAAAATGGCGGCCGCATGGAGGATTTCCTCATAACGGTGAGTTTTTTGCCCATGGGAACACATTAACTTTACCCTCACAAAAACACTGTGATATAACTAAGGTTGAATGTGTGTTACTGGCCTAAAGCCACCTATCAAGAGTGAAGAGTTGAATCCAGACCTCTTAAATCCAGCATTCTAACCACTGTATAGCAGTGGCTGTCTGCACCACATGTTTCTTCATGCCTCAGAGTAATCATGACTGTAGAAAGTCTCTGCCTGGATAGCATGTTGCACTGGGAGGTCTGGTTTTAAAGGCACGCTGAACCTATAATTCTCTGGTAACATGAGATTAGTCACTTGCTACCTAATTAGTGGCAGATGATGATTCCAGTTTCAGGTGTGCTATGGATTAATACCAAGTTTGGACTGCATTTTACCGGAGTTATCCAAGGTGCTGAAGGTGCTTAGGGATAAACACCTTGGATAGCTCCTGTAAAGTGCAGAGTAAACCTGGAGTGGATTTACCACACCCCTGAAACTGGAGTCACCAGCATCCACTGAACTTAACCTACCTCTCTCAAGGGTGCTATGAGAATAAAGAGAGAAATAATTAGCTCCTGGAAAATATAGGATAACATGTAATAAATATAAGTATAAATAAGGAAATATGTGGATTAGAGCTAATCAGAGCACACGTTGAAGCCACCTGTTACTTGAAAGAATTTGTTTGAGCTATAGTTTATCAAATTTTAAACACAGAAATTTTTTTGTGCTAGACCTCCGCCCTCTGAGTATGTGCAGATATCAGAGAAATCCCAGTCTGTCCTGATACAACTGATTTTAGGGGAAAGAGCTTTTAATTTAAGAGAATGGAATACTGTATAAAGAGAAGCTTGAGCCAGCATCCCACTTTGTGCAAATAAAGTGACCATCTTTTCCACCCGGATATCATGATTTGAGAACAAACCAATGTGCCTCTACAGCAGTGTTTGTCTGCCTTTTGCCATCTAGATATTTTAGGTTTCAGTTCCCAGAAGTCTCAGCCAGCATCATCAGTGGTCAAGGACATGGAGAGCTAAAGTACTGGGGATAATGATTTTCAGTAATTGAAGACTTTGTCTACTGTCTCTCAGCCCCCATGTTTCCCAGTGGTGATGAAAATTACTCAGGACCTGTAGGGGCTTAGAGATAAGGGAGATGTTTAATTTTCCAAAAAAAAAGTTTGTCCTAGCTGATGACATAATCAGCCTTATGCCACAGAATATACACAATCAAGATTTCAGCCAGTGTAATCCATGGTAATAAAAATCAAAGCTTTCTCTCCACTGAGTCCTTATCCTCACAAATAACATATATTGATTTGTTTAGCAAAGGTTTAGCAGTTGTAAAGCTACGCCTTTCTTGATATTAACTGAAAATACTGAAAAAGTAGTGGTTTTTTTTAAAAAAAAACAGCTTTAAATTTTCTCTCAATGAAAATTTTAAAATGGAACTTCCAAACTCCATTTTATTCTAGTAATTAAAAAAAAAAGAATTGCTGAAGAGGCATTTTAATTAATTGATCTGATTTTTAACACACGTCAAAGACTGATTTTTAAAGCCTGCTGGATAAAGGCACTTTGGAAGGGTGCTTTTGAAGATTATGAGTAAGTAGAAGTAGATGTGTGGAGATAAGCACATTTTTCTGATAGGTCACTGCACCCATCAAAAGCACGTATTTTGGTAAAGCAGTACTAAAGCAACAGTAACGATTGCTTTGTGCTACTGTTCCATTCTTTCAAAATGGTTCGAGAAAAGTCAGAACACTTGCAGGGATAACACAAGGGAACGATGAAAACAATGATGGTTTCTTGTCCTGTTATTCAATTATGGATGATGGTATCGTTTAGGTATTCTATGTAGGCTTAGCAAATAAGGCACAGCAATTCTGGAGAATATACTTGGGACATAAGTGCATATGGAATTGAAGTTCTATATGGAACAAACTTGTGGTCTTTAGTTAAGTATATTTAACAGGTAAAACTACAGCTCTCTTGTTTCTAGGGAAAGTCATGGTGATTAAAGAAGATAAAATTAACATATCTTGATATTGTAGGTTTGGCTTCTTCTATCTCCCTCTCTTCCATCTCTGTTTTATGCAGCATAGATATATCCATCCACGTTTTCAGAAACAATGTGAGGTTGAGAAGAGATGGACCAACCTTCATCTTTTCTAGCTTTTCTTCCCTATTTTGTTTTGGAGTGCCAGAGAAGTAAAGAGAGAAGAACAAGAAGAACCAGATCGCCAGAGAAATCATGACATTTTCTTGCGAATATTCCCAGTTACTGTATTTACTTGCACAAGGAGTATACAGTGAAAAGATGCCCACTATCAGACTTTGGAAAATGATGATCTTTACATGTTATCAGCCACAATTTTATTACACCTGTTACTACTGTGGATTCATGGTGATCATGATGATGATGATGACTGTTATCATTATTGTTATGCCTCATCAATATATCAGATGCCTTAAAAAGCAAAATTACTTCCGCAAGGCTCCTATCTCAAGGAACTTAACAGGGTGAGTTGTGATGGTGTGGAAGGAAGGAGTAAGAAATGAGGAACTGAAAAAATGGGGGGAAATAATAGCAGATGACTATATTTGCTTTTGTGTCTCAGCTGAAAACATGGGGTGTCAGGATAAAATTTCCTGTCTAAATTCCCAGATCCATGAAATTCTGAAGAATTCTCATGTTCCTGGATCAGCATGACTGATAACAATGAGACGGAGCTTTTAAATAACAAAAATGCAACTCCATCCCCATGCAGCAAAACCTTTAACCAACACATTCTGTTTATATTAGATTTTATCAACAGATGGGATTGAAGTTTTATAGTTGCCCCTTTGAGCCATTACAACCGGATGATAAGAACTGATGTTTTTAAAGTCTTCTTCAACAGTTATTTCAAACTTAATCACCTGAACTAAGAATTGTAGTAATGGAGTATGAAGCACATATGACTTGTGTGATCCTATTGAAAGTGTTCTGTAGCCCATCCAGGTTTACAAAATTAATAATTATTTGTATTTTGTTTAATTTTTGTTAGAAGGCAATTAAAGAGCAGCACCATAAAAGCATCATGCAAGTACTCTCTGCAGGATAGGGTCCTTCTTCAGGAAACAATAGGAGGCAATGATGTGTCCAAATGTGAATGAAGCTGTTAAAACGAATTTTGAATTAGATTGCCAGAATTCCTGAATTCTTTGCCTGGAATTAATTATGGAGGTGTTTAGATTATTAATTCAAGAATATGCAGCCTGCTTTAATTCAGATAATACAAATAATAGCATAATACAAACGCCTGCTTTAAAGAGTTGGAAGGATGACCCAAAAATATTTTAATTTTGTTTAATTTTGAGGGTTTTCTTAAAATTGCAAGCTCATGCCAGATTTGTTTAATTAATCAAAACATTACAATGTGCCCAGACAGGTGGTAGGCGAATAGCCGGCATCATGTATTCCAGGCAAACATTTCTGAAATCTAGCAAAACAATCCAGGAATTATTTTTAAAATGCCTCTCAGATTTCAAGCCTGTAGGATAAATGGGCACACTATTGCTTCATATTACTGTATTTCCTGCAGAAAGGATCTGTCCTGCCTAGAGTCTTTTGCACGGTCTTGCAAGATGTACTATACCAAGATCCTTTTGTGGTCCTTCCTCTCAAACAATCCCATATTTCCTTACCTTGGTCTGGAAGACTCTTCCCAGCTGGTACAGTGACGGAAGGTTCTTGCGATCGTACAGCCGCGGGCCACTCTCCTGTTGTCACCTGTCTGTCTTGTGCTAAGGCATCTGTCTGTCCAGGAGTCATTGTCTTTTGTGCCGGCTCAGCTGCTTCTGCCTTGGTCCAAGCGGCGGGCAGCAGGGTGTGCAGGGATTTGCAAAACACTAAGATTTTTCTCTGCGCGCAGGCTGTCAGTTGCTCTTGTAAGATCAGAAGCTGCCCTGGCTACTTCTAATCTCTCCCACTGTGAGGAGAAGGCAACATGTGTCACAGGCTGAGACACAAGCCGGGCAAGCTTCCAAAGATATGTAGGGTAGGCAGGAAGGGAGCAGGAAGGTAATGGCAACAATACACCGTGCCAGGGCTGACGCCAGGGCCTCCATCTTTGGGCAGTGGGAAGCTGTGCATTCCACAGATCTAAGGCTGCCATCCCAAAGGTGTGGGAACCTAAATGGAGAAGAGGGTGAGAGATGGAAATAAAAAGAAAAGCCTAGACTTGCATGGTAAGAGAACAAAACTGACGCAAATCCAGAAAACTGCAGTTGCTCGTGATAAGCGGTAAGTGAAACAACAACCACCATTCAGCAAAGTACACAATTGTAGAATGACTTGACATCCCCTCTTAAAAATCTATGTATTGATTGGAGCAGTTCACACATCCAGTTGCAAATCGTTAAGTGGTGTAAGTACTTCAGAGATTAAGTAATGAATGATATGAATGTATGAATCATACCCTGGCCAAAAGGACTGGGTTGATACTCATTGGCATAATATTTGTGAGCAACTGCCTTCTGAATAAATTCACATCAGTATTTCCAAGCCTTAATTCACTTGTCTGTAGGTGGAAACAGTAATTGCCTACTGTAGTGGTTCCCAATCTTGGAGCCCCAGATGTTGTTGAACTACAACTCCCAGAAATCTAGTCATGCAGGCTCCTGGATGTTTTAGTCCAAGAACACTGCCCCTGGGACCGCACCAGACCATCGTGCCTACACCCAGAAGGAGCTAAAGACCATCTGCCGGCCATTAAGAGCCTCGTGGCGCAGTGGTTAAAACGCTGTACTGCAGCTAAAACTGTGCTCACGACCTGGGGTTCAAATCCCAGGTAGCCGGCTCAAGGTTGACTCAGCCTTCCATCCTTCCGAGGTCGGTAAAATGAGTACCCAGCTTGCTGGGGGGGCAATGTGTAGCCTTTATAATCAAAATTGTAAACCGCCCGGAGAGTGCTTGTAGCGCTATGGGGCGGTATATAAGTCCAATAAAAAAAATAAAAAAAAAACACCTGCTTGACAGTTGATATTATTTAAGGAAGTATGAAGTTGCATCTAGCTGGTCCGTATTAGTTCAACAAGCCTTAAACCTGAGTTTGCCAGGGCGTTAAGATCATCAGGGGAGGCCTTTCTCTCTGTCCCACCATCCAGAAAGGTATGCTTGGTGGGGACACAAAAAACAACTTCTCTCTTGCCACTCCCAGACTCTGGAACTCCTCCTGCAGGAAGCCAGCCTGGAACCATCTTTGCTATCTTTCCACAAGCAGGTAAAGAGCTTTCTCTGCAGGCATGCTTCCCTTCAGTGACTGAATCTAAAAGTGGGACTGTTTGCATTTTGTTGATTCTAAACCTGTTTTAGTAAAGCTTTATTTAACATGTTCAATATAATATTATTAATTTGTTCAATATTTAAATAATTCACTGTTTTTAGCTTTAATGTTGTGTTTTAATGCTATAAGTGGCCTTAGGTTCTTTCTTAGGAGAAATATGGGAGAAAATATTTCAAATAAATAAATAATAAATAAATATACCATTTAATCCTTGGGAGTCCAATTTGAATGTATAATTAAAAGGCAGAATATTAACCATGACTGCTTGGAGTTCATCAGAGGAATCCTATGGCAGGTTTTAAAATTAGACTATCTAACAGAAAACCCTCACTCTCATCTTAAGAAAAAAAAGTGCTTATGTATACACAACCTCTAGAGAATATGGACTGTCACAGAGAGAAGATGTGGTCTTCCAGGACAGTCTATGCCTGCACTACTAGGGTAGTTAAACAAAACTAAATGAGAAATTTTGAGGTAATATGTTAGCAAGGGGAACTAGTGTTAATGAAATTAAAGCACCTTCATTCCATCTCTTCCAAATGCTCTGAATGGATGTTACCTTATGTTAGCAAAGCGCAAAATGTGCTGGGAACCTTGTGTTTGTTCTCTTAACACAGATATTGGCCCTAAGTATATTTAATATTGTGATAGCCTAAAGACTAAAATACATCCTTCCATTTCCATCATGTATTCTACATGTGTGTGTATTTTGTTATGTGATGTCAAGTCACCTACAACTTATGACAATCCTATGAATGAGTGATCTCCAAAATGACATGTCTTCAATGAATATACCATACTTTTCAGCTATTATAAGCTGAAGGCTGAGGATTACTTTAGAGTCAATTCACCTCATATATGGTCTTCTTCTTTTCCTGCTGCCTTCAACTATTCCAGCAAGTCTTGCCTTGTCGTGATGTGCCCAAAGTATGGCAGCCTCATACTTTGTCAGGATTGATTTGAGCTAAGACATACTTATTTATTTATCTTTCTGGCTGTCCAGGATATCTGCAAAGCTCTCCTCCAGCATGAGATTTCAAATAAAACAGTTTTTTTTTTTATGCCAGTCTTCTTAACTGTCCAGCTTTCACATTCATACATAGCAACTGGGAATACAATAGTGCAGATGATCTTAGTCTTGATCTCCAATGATACATCTTTACATTTCATGATATTTTTTTAGTTCCTTCATTGCTGTCTTTCTGAGTCTTCATCATCTTCTGATTTCTTGGCTACAGTCTCCTTTTGAATACATTATTGAACTGAAGTATACCAAGTGTTTAGCAATTTCCGTTTCATTACTGTGAGCATTAAAATTTAATAGTCCTTCTGTAGTCTGATTTTCATCTTCTTAATGTTCATCTGTGGTCATGCTTTGGCATTTTCTTCTTTCCCCTTCACCAAAAGCTGTTCCAAGACAGTGCCGCTTTCAGTCAGTAAAATGGTATCATCTGCATATCTTAAATTGCTGCTGTTTCTTCCACCAATTTTTACTCTTTGTGATATTTTATGTGTAGAGACTGAACAGTTAGGGAGATGAAATACATCCTTCTCTGATGCCGATGCCTACAGGAAATCATTCTCTTTCCCCATATTCTGCCTTAACACTAGCTTGCTACCCACCTCTAAATAAAATCTGGCAACAATTACAGTGGTGCCTCACTAGACAGTTACCCCGCATGACAGTTTTTCGCTGGACATTGACTTTTTGTGATCACTATAGCAATTCGCAAAACAGTGATTCCTATGGGGGAATTTCGCTGGACAATGTTTGGTCCCTGCTTCGCAAACCAATTTTCGCTAGACGACGATTTTGACAGCTCCCTCCGTGCTTGCAAAACGTGAGTTTTCAGGACCTAAGCTTCGCAAGACAGCTATTTAAACAGCTGATCAACGCTTCGCAAAATGGCTTTCCTATGGCCGATCTTCGCTAGACAACGATGATTCTTCCCCATTGGAACACATTAAACAGGTTTCAATGCATTCCTCAATGTATTCCAATGGGGAAATGCTTTTTGCTAGATGATTATTTCGCTAAACAGTGGTTTTCAGTAGAACGGATTATCATTGTCTAGCGAGGCACCAGTGTATATGATAATATGGGAAATGAACTCACTTCTTTCATATACCCCGTAGCTAATGCTTTGACTACAGAAGAACTACGCAATCTTAGCATTGACAATGAAGAAACTGAACTAAAGATTTTGTGTACTGAACTTTGATTCAATTATTAATCCAAATGGAGACTGCAACTAAGAAATCAAAATAAGACTGTAAATAGGAAGTGGAGAAATGAAGGAATTAGAAAAGATCATCAAGTGTAAGGATGTGTAATGGGAGATCAAGACCAAGATCATCCACACTCGTGTATTTTCACCCACCATGTATGAGGGTGAAAGCTGGAAAGTTAAGAAAGCTGACATTTTGTTTGAAATGTGGTGTCGGAGGAGAGTTTTATAGATACAATGGAGTACCAGAAAGATGACCAAGTGGGTCCTAAATCAAATCAAGCCTGAACTGTCTCTGAAGGAATAATTGATGAAACTGAGGCTGTCCTACTTTGGTCACATCATGAGAAGGTAGGATTCTCTGGAAAAGATAATACTGCTGGGGAAAGCGGAAGGCAGGAGGAAAAGACGAAGACTAAGAACAGCATGGATTGACCCCCCAAAGGAAGCCAGAGGCTTGAGTTTGCAAGAACAGAGCAGGGCTGTTGAGGACAGGACATTTTGAAGATTTCTTATTCATGGAGTCACCATAAGTTGGAGGTGGCTTCAAAGCACATAACAACAACAAATGCTTTGACTGATGGATGCCCTGTTTTGTGACACCTGAGCCAGAATCAAAGGAAAATGTAACCAAATGTCTTCCAGAAAGCAGATGAGTCCACACACACATAGCCCAGTATGGTCCAGGCGGTGGTAAGTAGCGAAAGAAAAGTTCAAAGATGTGGTGTGCGAGTCAACTTTTTAAAAAATTAATGTGGCCAAATGCCAACCCCCCCCCCCC